ATGAATTCCAGGCTAGCATGGGCTACAGAGCAAGACCCAGCTTCAAAACAAACAAACAAAAAGGACAGAACTGGAGCTGGGGGTATAGTTCTGTGGCCAGGCACTTGCTTAGTATGTTCAAGGCCCCAGGTGGCATCCCCAGCAGAACAAAGTGAGAACAAGAGCAGGAGGAAAGCAAGAGAGAATGGGAAAGTGGGGGGAGGGAAGGGGGAGGCAGAAGGAGGGGAGGAGTAGGGGAAGAGGGAGGGAGAGGGAGTGGGAAAAGAAGAGGGAGAGGTGGAGGGAGAGGGGAAGAGAGGCAGAGAAAGGGTTTGTGGGGTGCACATGGCCTGTTTGGGGCTGGAGTATTGGGCCAGCCCCCTGCTGCAACTCTGCAGTGAGATCTGAGGCCCAATCAGCTGTGAAGACAGGGATGACCATCAGCTATGAAGACAGGATGACCATTAGCTATGAAGACAGATGACCATCAGCTATGAAGACAGACAGGGATGGCCGGTGATAGTGGCACACACTGGTAGGATTTGCTGAAAGATGCAGAGGCAGGAGAATCTGGAGTTCGAGGCCAGCCTGGGCTACACATTTAATAGCCGGGTGTGGTGGCACACGCCTGTAGTCCCAGCACTCGGGACTACAGCACTCCCCAGCACACTCTCTGTGAGTTCAAGGCCAGCCTGGTCTACATAGTGAGTTCCAGGGCAGCTGGGACTACAGGGAGACCCGGTCTCAAGAAGACCAAAGGGAAAAAAAAAAAAAAAAAAAAAGACAGGGATGACCATCAACTATGAACACACAGCGATGATCCTCAGCTGTAAAGACAGAGATGAGCACCTTGCTGAGCTCCTGAGGCATGTCTCCCTCACAGGAGCAGCAACTGTGGCTTCCAGCAGGACTGGGGTCTTCCTTGCTCCCTGCCATAAGCCATCTCAATACCACTTCCAACTCTGGCCTAGCCTTAGGATTTGGTACATCCCAGACCAGAGAGAATGTTCCTGATGCAAGGCCAAGGAAGAACTTAAAACTGGAGGAGGAACATAGCAGAGGACTAAACGACAAAATCCAGAGACCCCCAAAGCCACAAGGAGAATGTGGTGAGTTGCCAAACCAGAGAGCACAGAAGCCAATATCAAAGCCAGGGACCACAGCCAGGAATCCCAGATCCAGGGAGATGAAGAGAAAGAGCAAGTGGGCAGATTACAGCTGGGAGGGGCCCAGGCCAGCTTGGAGCAGGCATTTGAGGCTTGCTTTAATGTGCCTCCAGCTTGGGACTGGGGTGGGGGTGGGCGAGTCAAGGTTAGAGGGGCAATGGACGATTGGACAAAATGGTATTTTCCGGGGCTCTGTTTCCCAGAGCAGAACCTAGGGAGATAGCCAGTGATGGTAGAATACACAGTCATTGAGAAGTACAGCCTCCACGTCCTGATTCTAATGTAACCTTACCTCTGCATGTGTTAAGACACATAGCCATTGCAAGGCCCAGCTTCCACATCCTGACTCCAGTATGACATCATCTCTGCCTGCATTAGGACAGTAAACAGCTCAAAGCTCTCCCCAGCACACTCGCCTGGGAGTTGGCATACACCAGCTGCTGCAGTATCTGTGTCTGGACTGGGTGGTGGATTTCAAGAAAAGAACTGGACAGAAGTCAGCAAAGCTGTTACTGGAGGCAAGGTAAGGAGTCAAGAGTAATGATGCATGCCTATAATCCCAGCCCTTGAAAGGCTGAGGCAGAAGGATCAGGAGTTAAAGACCATTTTCCATTAGTGAGTTTGAAGCCAGCCTGAGCTATGTGAAATCAAGTCACAAAACAAAATGTTAGTAAAGAGGAAAAGAAAAATGAGAAAATTATGGCAAACTTCTAAATCCCAGCTTGGCCTCTGGAGGGTGGGAGCTGCAGAGAAGAGCAGATCCTTTAGAAATTAAAAAAAAAAAAATTACATGAACACAAGACACTCAGCAGACTCTGGCTGAGTATCCGATGACTGCTGATTGATTACTTCTAGAATGGGCTTGCGAGTCTGCCAGCTGGCAAACACGTTTCCCTTCAGTGGAGCTAGTTGTCTGCTGTTCACTTCTCTTTATTCTCGTTTCTTGTGCCCCACATCACCCCTAACAGCAACAGAATTACTTTACCTACAAGGTGGTTGCTACACCACAAAATGTGTTCTTCATCTTGTTTTTATTTGTTTTCCCAGCAATGGGATGCAAGTCAGGGCCACACATGCTAGGCAAGCCCCTACTGTCAGTCACCCCAAACCATCTCCTCAATGCTAGCCCTCTCTGGGGTCAGCTTTCCACTGTGCCACCCAGCATCAGATAGACCCTGACCCTTAGGACCTGCCCACGTGCACTCATGAACGCTGCAGAGGAGCCAGGTGAGGGAGAAGTGGAAGATCTGCAGATTACTTACCAGGCGTTTGATCGCTGTGATAAAACACCTGATAGAAGCAACTAATGAAGGAAAGATTTATACTGGCTTACAGTTGGAGGAGACACAGTCCAATGTGGTAGGGAAGACAGGGTGACTGAGAAGACATGGGGATGGGAGCTGCTCACGGCTCGGGTAGTAGAGTTGGTGGCAGAGCTGGGGCACATCTCTGTAGATCAGGAAGTGGGCAACATGTAGCCTGTAACCCTCAAGCCCTGACTCTGGGATATTAACTACTCCTACCAGCAAGAAACAATGTCCAAAAGGTTCTGTAACCTTCCAGGAGAGTGCCATCAGCTGGGGACCAAGTGTTCAAACATATGATCCTGTAGGGGAAATTTCACACTGAAACCATAATACCAGGCGAGCCTAGTTACTAATACTGATTCTTTCTTTTCTTTCTCTCTCTCTCTCTTTCCTTCCTTCCTTCCTTCCTCTCTCCCTCCTTCCCTCCCTCCCTTCCTTCCTTCCTTTCTGTTTTGCTCTTTTTGAGACAGGGTCTCCCTGTAGCCCCAGCTAGCCTAGAACTCACTATGTAAACCAGGCTGGCCTTGAACTCACAGAGATTTCCCTGCCTCTGCCTCCCAAGTGCTGGGATTAAAGGCGTGTGCCACCATGTCCAGCTAATTTACTGATTTTTAAGAACCTCTGCAGTATCACAGCACAGCTGTGGATGCCAGGCAAGAAAATATTTTGGAAGTGCTTTGTAACTGGTAAGTGCCATCAAGAGTCAAGAAGAGCTGAGCATGGTAGCTCATGTCTGTGATGGTGGCATTTGGGAGGCTGAGGCAGGAGGATGCCAAGTTTTGTCTCAAAATAAAGGCATAGGCGGGTACCTTTATTATTATGCCTTAACTGTATGGGCTAAATTAAGTTTGACTGGGGCTGGAGAGATGACTCAGCAGTTAAGAGAACTGGCTGTTCTTGCAGAAGACCCAGGTTTGAATCCCAGCACCCACATGGCAGCTAACAACTGTTTGTAACTCTAGTTCCAGGAGATCAGACGCTCTTGTCTGTCCTCCTTGGGCACTGCATGACATGGGTGCATTTATATATGTACAGGTGTAAAAGTCATGCACATAAAATAAGAATAAATAAATGAAGTCTGACTGCTAATTTAAAAGGGAGACCCTGTCTCAAAAAGACCTGATTGCTAACTTTAAAAAAAAAAACAAAACAAAGTAAAAGTGACTTCAACATATAAGTTTCTTTCATATGAAATCTATTCAGAGCCGCATAACACTCCATTAGCTTTCTAAAACAAATCTTATTTATTATTATTATTTTATGTGTATGCGTGTATTGCCTGCATGTAGGTAAGTGCACCCGTGTCGTGCAATGCCCATGGAGAACAGAAGAGACTGTCGGATCCCCTGGAACTAGAGTTAAGGACAGCTGTTAGCTGCCATGTGGGTGCTGGGATTCGAACCCAGGTCTTCTGAAAGAACAGTGTTCTTAACCACTGAGCAATCTCTCCAGCCCCTCCATGATCTTTTATCTTTCTGCTCACCCTAAGTAGCAGTCATTTCTAGGATCATATTATAGACCAAACTAGCTATCCCAAATCCACCTATTACATCACATTCCAGTCAAGGCCTTTGAAGGAAGAATTCCACAGCCTCTCCCTTTCAGGTCAAACCTGGAAATTCCACTTCTGCTAACTTCCACCGACCAAACTTGGTCGCATGAACACATTGAACTGGAGGGGAGACTAGAAAATGTGGGTTTTATTCTGTGCCCTGATTTAAAAATGTAAGGGTCTTGTCACTCAAAAATAAGAGGAAGCCAGGATGGTGATGCACACCTTTAATCCCAGCATGCAGGACACAGGCAGATGGATCTCTGTGAGATCGAGGTCAGTCTGGTCTATATAGAGAGTCAGCTGGGGCTACAGGGAGACCCTTTCTCAAAAAAAAAAAAAGAGACCAAGGGTCTCTGTCCCAAGTGGTCATTTCCCCATCCCCTCTCCATCTCCCTGTGAGTCACCTGAACTCACTCCCCCTAGAAATCTTCTTACTACGGAAGCAAAAGCACACTCCTGCTTTCCCTGCTCTTCTGCCTCAATGCACCAGGTCTCAGCACAGGGCTGGCCACAGCATGTCTTCTTCGTCCCTTCTCTCCTCTCTGTAATGTCCTCAACCCCCAAGAACTCAAATAGGAACCTGGATGCCAGTGAGTCCTCAGTCCAGGCCAGGGAGGAAGATGCCCACTGAAAGGCAGGCCCTGTCATCCAGGCAAGACTTCTGCCTCCTGCTCAGGAAGCAAGGAAGGGATGGAGGGTCCTGTAGGTGTGAGTGGGGCTTCTGAATCTCCTCCTCTGAACTCCAAACTAGTTCAGTTTAGTGCAGTACAGCAGCAGGTCCATATTGGTTGCTTGGGAGAACACTGGGAAACAAGGCAAGCCTCTTTCTACTCAGAAACAATCTAACTCTTTGGCGCCGAGTTCCAGTTCCTGCTGACTTGGCACAGCGTGGGCCAGACCCGGAGTGCACCTGCCTGAGTGTTTGCCCACTGCTGCTTTCAACAGGCACCGAACTCCATCCCTGCACAAAGAAATCACATGCACACAGGCCTCTGTGTTTGTAGCAGACTTTACTGAAAATTTGGAGAGATGAAGGGGATTTACATAGAAAAATTACAAAAACCTTAAAGTTGAATATCAGACATATGTGAATGTTTAAAAAAAACAAAAACAAAACATAGTCATTTCCACCACCTGGGCTCCAGTTCGCTACCAAGGCACTTGCCTACCTGGGCCCCTTCTTACTCAGGAACTATATATACAAAGGCCAAATTCCAGACACTTTAAAACATTCTTTTAGAGACAGAATCTCACACTGGCCTGGGTCCTCCGCCCCAGTCTCCCGAGTGCTAGGATTACAGGTGTGCGACCCAGCTCCTGGCTGGGGATATCAGAAACATCTACATAGAGTCAAGTCTTTGGAGGAAAAGCTCATTTCATTCTGATCTGTAAGGAGGGTTTTAACTGAGCCACTGGCCTCCTACTGAAAACATTTTCTTTCTTAGAGCTAATGTAGCAAATAACAGAAGGTGTCAACCCCCAACCCAGTCCCTCACCCCAGGTCTCAGGAGCTCCCTCCTGCCACTGCTTGCCTCTAGTTTCCACCTCTGCCCTACTGCACCCAACCCACAGCCTGGGAGGGTGTGTGCACCAGGAACACGGGATAGTCATAGGTCACACCACGCACCCCTTTACCTGTTATACAAACCTAGGACAGAACCACTTGTACACAAACACAGCACAGACACACGCAGAAACGTACACACTGACCGCCCCCCGCAAAAAAAAACGACACATATACCCACACCCTCCCATGCCACCACCCTCCACATTTACACACTACACACACACACACACACCCTACACACACCCACTACATACCACACCCCTTCTGTGTGGGGTTTTTCTTGTTAGGACGCATTCTTTCCATTCCTATGACATTCTGTAGGTACAATCTGCTCTGTCACTGTCAGGCCTTTGAGGCAGATGACCTTTCACCCTTGTGGCCCCTATCTCCACTTCTGATGTTTCTATGTTAACTAGATCATACCCCAAAGGCTCTCTCTCACAAAGCTTAGGGACCCTTTCTCACCCTCCAGGCCCAGGGCCATGGGTGGCCCTGCCTGATTCACTTTCTCTCTCTCAAATGGCTGCCAAGACCAGGTGGAGGAAAGCAACAGTTTCCACCCACAGCCTCCCTGGGGAGCAGGCTGGCCTCACACAGGAGCACACAATTACACCTGCCTCTCTGTGGAAACCAGTGGCCCCAGGGCTGTTTTTTGAAAATTGCATTAAAGCAATTGCTTAACACCTCTCACTACCACCCTGAGAATTCCAAAACCCTCATCTAGACAGGGAGGGCAAGGGACACAGGACTGAGTAGCCTGCTGTTTTCAACCTGGCATGCTGGCTGGACACACGTCCAGCTCCTGCCACTCACCCCTCGGCCAGGCATCACAGGCTCATTGGGGATCTCCTCTTCAACCCTGAAGAGATACCACCAGCCCCTTCCTGTCCCCAGGCCCTCCATCCTCCCTTGCAATGCTGTTCCTTTGATCCTCTTGACTGCCTTCCCTTGTCTTCCAGGACTCAGTACCAATGCTGGGCCTCAACCTCCCCAAGAGCCATGAAAATCTTGCTGGGTTCCTCCCCCACAGCACTCCCCACAGCCCGCACATCTCTTCACCTGTCCATTTCCCTCCTCAGGGACCCAGGCTGTCTTGCTCACAGGCACATTCCCAGAACCTGCCATACCTCAGAAGTTAAACAACTACTCACAAAGCAAATGAAAAAAAGCATCAACAATCCAAACAACTTTGCTAAGCTCTCTAGGTATTACTTTCTTCATCCTTAGAATAGGGCTGCAGGGCACAGTGGTGGGCATCTATAGGATTGCCAGTGAGATCAGCCTAGGCAAGAGAGGGGGACCCCATCTTAAAAAAAAAAATGGAGCCGGCACAGTACCCATCCACAAGACTGATGAGATAGCCAGGTGCCATGTTTACACAGCGGGAGGCAGCTAAGGCCACCACCGTCTATGGTGACTCTCCATCAGGCCACTGAGGTCAGCTCACATAGGAGACACTTATGCCCAACTCGGGTACCCAACATCTAGATCGACCTGCTTCCTGCACTAACAGGAAAAGGTTCTGTCCCTCACGTCCCCATGACCAAGAGGTCACCCACATATCATCCTCCGGGAGCCTGTCTGATGTGTCTAAAGCTGTGGCTTCCTGGGAAGGGGGCAAAACATCCTGGGTCCTGCCCCCAGGAAGTACAAGAAGCAGAGGAAGAGAAGGTCAGGGCTGGGGTTGGGGGAGAGGGGCTGCAAACACAGATCTCCATGTGGACAGGCGAGCACACAGCGCAGTGTCGCAGCAGGCCTGAGGTTCAGCCTTCATCTTGACATTGGGGTGGGGGGACTAGTTAAATTACTTTTGGATAAGGAGAGAAGATACTGAACAACATACAGATAGGGACTGGTGGCTTGTCTTCCACAGCTGGGACACAGCCAGATTCCTCCCATCTGCTTATCTGAGTTCTTCTGGGGCTGTCGCTCAATGGCAGGGCACTCACCCTGACTGGGCCAACCCCTGGGATCCACCCCCAGCACCAGGAAATAAATACAGAAATAATATCAATAAATATTGCCCATCTACTCAGGGCCAGCTCCCCCAAAGCTACCTGTTCCCTGAGTCCTCCACCCCGATCCCTCCCATCTGTGATGGCCAGTAGCTCTGGGGACCAGCCTGCCCCACCACACAGTTTCCAAGTCTAGTGCCTTCCTCAGTTGAAGTGGAAGTTGCCACGGTTAGTACCGATGCATATTTATTGAACGCATGGATGTGCTTAGTAGCACTATGTGAAGTGCAGTCCATACACGAGGTAGGTGAATGTTATACCCATTTTACAGATGGGGAAACTGAGGCACAGTGACATTAACTCGCCCAAGGTAGCATATTAAGCCAAGCTGGTCTGACTCTAGAACCCTTGTTTCTCACCTCCACCCCGCATCATCCCCTCCATGCTGTCCTGCCCATTTCTGTATTCCCACAGAATACGTCCCTGAGTGCTGGGCTCACACAAACATGCCTAGCTTGGCTCTTTCTTCCTCTGCCGCTCCAGGCTACTGGAACTGGCTTCTGCCAGGGACAGCAGAGAGCCAGACTCAGGCACTCCAAAGGGAGGGGAGCATGGGGCCCAAGGATCACACCACTTAACAGCTGTAGCATGCACCAAGTACTTTACAGACATGCTCTTCCAAGAGGTCTTAGAAGGCAGGTCCTGTGCAGACAGGAAAGGGGACTAATGCTCAGAGGGGTGGAGGAGCCTGCCAAGGTCAGGCAGTGGGAAATGCTGGAACTGATGGCAGGATTCCCATCCATTGATGGCCTGCCTGCACTGCCTCAATGCAGAGCCCCTGCCCCCTTTAGTGTCACAGAGAAACTACTACAGATGAAGCAATGGTACCCGAATAGTTCTTACCCTGTCTCTGTCCAACCAACCAGTTGTGTCCACACCTAAGACCAGCCCTGGTGGGTAGAGCTTTCTAATGTAGTTGTCCTGGGGCAGTGGTGGCAGAGCTGACAGGACAGTGCACAACTTGTGCACAGCAGCCCTAGGTATATGGCCCATATGTCATCTGTCCTCAGGCCACCAGTGTGACCAGCAGCAGGGTACAGGGTTCCAGCAGCTGAGAGAGGGGACCATCAGGTCTTGAACTTCAGTGTCCAGTGATGCTCCTGGCTGAGTCCACTGGGGCTCTGGCTTCTAGACTGCCTGGGGCACCTCAAGGCATTGCTTCTAGCCTGCCTCCCAGGTGTCCCTTTCTCCCCAGCCCTTCCCTGCTCATACAGCCAGACCAGCTCCTCTGAAAATACATGACACCTTGGGTTTATTAGGGGTCGGGCATTGCAAGATCAGGCAGTTTGCTCCTGGTAAGAAGAATGCAAAAACTTGGCTCAGCTCTCTTGGCACTTCTGGGGGCTGTCCCTGAAGGTTCCCTCCCAGGTCCCCATTTCCTGGACTTGTCTCCCCCCTTTGCTCCCCAGGTCTCTCATTCTTTCACGAGCCGGTAGATGTGGTGCTGAGCCCCGTGTTCACTGGCTGATACTTCAAAGACATATGCGATGCACAGCAAGGTCTCCTGCGTGTCTCGGTTGGTGACCACCTGCACATGAAACACAGATGAGGGTCAAAGCCCTGGTTAGGGATGCCATCACTGCCGCCCACCTATGTACTGCATCCCTGGGCATCGGCCCCACATACCTGCAGGATGGTGAAGTTCTCCAGCACGCTGTTCATCATGTACCTCTCGGGCAGATGCTTTAGTTTGTGGATGAAGTTGATCATGTACTCGCAGAGTGGGGACCGGTGGATGCGGTACGAATAGTGGCCATTCTCATAATGGGCATATTCTGTCTGCAGACCCCCAGGGACAACAGAGGCTTAGAATCCCTTCATCTCCAGCCCAAGCCCAATCATTAACAATGGGCAGAAAAGGCAGAAGGTGGCCTAGGAGCAAAGCCACCTGAGGTTGGTGGATATAAAGCCAGGCCTCTCCTCTTTCTTGGTGACAGGACAGGCAGACTCTGTTCCAGAAGACGGAGGAACAGCAATAGATGAGATGGGGTAAGTGCTGAGCATGAAGGCTATGCAATGGAGCTGCCATGTGTTTGAACCTTGGTGTTAATCACACACACACACACACACACACACACACACGAGAGAGAGAGAGAGAGAGAGAGAGAGAGAGAGAGAGAGAGAACAAATCCAACTGGCTGGTGGGATTTGAAACAGACTGATGAACTCTGTCAACGGCGGTTCCCAGTTGCTAAGGTCACCCTCCATTTCTGGGTGTTTAGGGAGATAGGAGTCAGGTAGACAGTACGTGGGGTTATCAGCACATATGGAGCCATAGGCATCTCAAAACTTTAATAAGATTAGTGAAATGTAAATAACTGGAGGAACTTATTAAAAATTGCTACTTCTGGGATAGAACAGATGCTCAGCAATCATGAGGCCTGGGCCCACCTCTAGTGCGCGCACACACACACACACACACACACACACACATATTGCTCTCATCAGATTACACTCCCAAGATTGAGAAGTTACATGAGTTGGGTTTAGTGATGCTAACTCGTGTCCAAAGCTTCCTGGACTAAGGTACAGCCAAGGTTGGGAACCCCAAGCAAGAATTCCTTCCTGGGTACCAGCCTGGCATCTGGCTGTTTGACATGAAGTGGCTATCAATCCCAGGTGGACCTCAGGAGGAGCAAGCCGTCAATTCAGACCCATGTGGGCCAAGAGGTCTGACATCATGCATACTGTTGGACACGACACAGGGTCACAGACTTTAGGGCCACAGATGTGGTAGGGTGGAGGCCTTAGTTGCATTTTGTCACTTTCATTACACAATGGGAAATGAATATCACAGGGCTATTAGAACCAATGGGTGGTAAGGACAACCTGGCACTTGCTTAGACATAAATATAGGGTGATACCACAAGCTTAGACATCCAACAGGAAGCAGAGGGTTGAGGAGTACAAGGATCAAACCCAGGTCCTCCAAACTTGTGCTTACCCCTAGGCTGCCTACTCTTGAGAGCAGAGGCGAGGCAGAAAATGCTGCCCAAGCATGAGGTGTCCAGAGCACTAAAAATCTCAAAAGCAAGCTGTGTGTGTTGGTGGGAGATTGGGGCTGAAGGATCTAGAGTTCTATGCAAGGCTGTTAAAAAACAAAAACAAGGAATCAAGGGATGAAGGTATAGTTAGCTCAGAGGCAGAGTACTTACTTAGCACATACCAGGCCCTTATAGCCCTTACAAAAAGCAAACACCCAGGGGCTGGACAGACAGCACAGTGGTTAAGAGCACTGGCTGATCTTCGAGAGGTCCCAGGTTCAGTTCCCAGTACCCACATGGTGGCTAACAACCATCCTAACTCCAGTTCCAGGGGATGGGATACCCCTTTCTGACCTCCTTAGGCATTGTGTGACATAGGTGTACTTAAAATACATGCAGGCCAATAAACTCATACATAAAAAGTAATAAATCAAACATATATCTATATCTCTATATCCATATATATAAAAGCATGCCAGGTGTGGGTGGCGCACACTGGTAGTCCCAGCACTTGGGAGGCAGAAGCAGGTGAATTTCTGTGAGTTCAAGGCCAGCCTGGTCTACATAGCGAGTTCCAGACCAGCTGGGGCCACAGGGAGACCCTGTTTCAAAAAGACCAAACAAAACAAAACAAAACCCAAGGCCAATGTCATGGCCTGGTGACATCGGCACACACTTTTCATTCCAGCACTTGGGAGGCAGAGGCAGGCAGATCCCTGTGAATTCAAGGTCAGTCTGGTGTACATAGTGAGTTCCAGGACAGCTAGGGCTACATAGTGAGACCTTGTCTCAGAGAAAAACAAAACAAAACAAACACCTGGAAAAACAGGTAATACAGAGAGTTTTCAGTCTTCATGAAGTAAAAAGGGAGCAGGGAACAGGCCCTGAACACTGCTTCTCACCTGCCTCTGCCTTTAGTTTGCTGTGTGACTAGGGACAGGCCTCTCCTCTCCCTGTAAAAGACATCTGGATTAGGGAGAATCCCTAGGCTGGCCTGTGCTTTGGCCCTGCTCTAGAAAGCGTGGGATGCCTGCAAGAAAGGCTTGGAAGGAGCCCCAGCCAGAAAATTTAGCCGGGGATCTTGGGCAGGGGACAGGTAGTAAGATTAGGAATTTAGCAGATGCTTCACACGCAAGGCATTCTCTTCCTGAAGGCACATGGCAGTCACATGGGGCCCACCTCTGCCCAGGTGTCCTCAGGTGAGCTCTAGGGAAGGAGAGTCCACAGGCTGCCTTTGCCCCACACCCACGGGATGGCCTCCTACCTCAACTTTCTCCACCACTTGCTTGCCGAAGGAGCAGACCTTGGTGGAGCAGGTGATGATCATGTTCTCTGGGCTCTCATACTGGCTGGAGACTCCATAGAAGGAGCTGCCCTCATCCTCGATGTTGGTGTTGAGGTCTGCCTACAGGAAATATGGGAGGATAAGGTCACGATCAGGCCCTGTCAGAAGGATGGGCTCTGAGTCAAGAACTTCAGAGTCACAGTTCAGACTCTTAGATGAGAGACCAGGACTTATAAGGAATGGGGATAGCAGGCCAGGTGGGAGTACACATTTAATCCCAGTGCTCACGAGGCAGACACAGGTGAATCTCTGTAAAATCAAGGCCAAACTGCTCTACATTAGTGAGTTCCAGGCTAGCTAGGACAACCATAGTGAGACCCTGTCTCAAAAAAACAAAAAAGAGGGGCTAGAGAGATGGCTCAGCAGTTAACAGCACTGACTGCTCTTACAGAGGACCTGGGTGTGAGTCCCAGTACCCACATTTCGGCTACAACCATTTCTAACTCCAGTTCCAGGGGATCTGATGCCTTCTAACCTCCATGGGCATTGCAAGACATGGGTGCACTTACATACATGCAGGCAATACATTCATACACATAAAATTTTTAAAAAGAAAGGGCTGGAGAGATGGCTCAGCAGTTAAGAACACTGGCTGTTCTTACAGAAGACTTGGGTTCAAATCCCAGCACCCACATGGCAGCTAATAGCTGTCCATATAACTCCAGTTCCAGGGGACCAACGCCTTCTTCTGACCTCCACAGGCATTGCATGACACAGGTGCATTTATATACATGCAGGCAATACACGCATACACATAAAATAAAATAATAAAGTATTGAAGGAAGGAAGGAAGGAAGGAAGGAAGGAAGGAAGGAAGGAAGGAAGGAAGGAAAAGAGCACAGAGACCATAAGACTATAACTTGGTGGTGGAGTCCTTGCCTGGCAGATTCTGTGCCTTATCTCCAGCACCACAAATAGAAAAGAAATCGGCATCGTGGTGGACGGGAGGAGGGAGGATTGTGCTGCTGGAGGCCAGGCAATGGGGAAATGGTCAAAGGTACGGAGTTCCAGCCAGGTAGAAAGGAGATTTTTGTGGCCAATCGTACAGGAGGGTGTGTACCTCAAAATGCTGAGTTGTTTTCTCTTTCAGACTTTTGAATTAGCATCTTGTTCTAAAGCCCTAGTTCGCCTGAAATTCATTACATAGCCTAGTCTAACCTTGAAGTGACAGAACTACACACCAGATGTATAATTTTTTAATGATTGGTTTTTATTTGTACAAGTGTTTCAATGGCCAGTATGTTTACTGGTATGTGTACAGTATGCAGTATATGTATAGTATATAGTGTCCAAGAAGGCCGGAAGAGGATGACAGAGCTACCATGAGGGTACTGGGAGTCAAACTCGAGTCCTCTGGAAGAACAGCAAGTGCTCTTAACCCAAGTCATCTCTCCAGTCCCCATCTGAAGCTTATGTGGCCTCTCTTGTGGGCTGGCCCCATTTAGGGGCATCTTTCTCCAGCAGACATCCCACGTTCCTGGCATCTTCAATGTCCTAGGGTATCTACTGCAATGTAGGTTGCACTATCACACCTTCATGTGCAGCTTGCATAGCGACTTCCTTCAGAGAATCCGAGCTTCCTATACACTGTGTGGTCTCACAGATCATTCTCCAGCAATCCCTACAACCCTGTAACTCTTGCATTCTGTATGTCCGAACAGCCAATAAATACACAGATGACACCAAATTCTGCTGCTGACTTGAGAGGTAGCCAGGACTTTGTGGACCACAGTGACAATGTCCTGAGGGCCTATATGGCTGAACTTCATAAACATTTCCAGCAAGACACCCCTTCAGCTCTTTTTTGTTGTTGTTTTCTAAACGTTTTACTGATTTATTTGGTGGGGGAGGTGGGGAGGTACATGCATGCCATGGAAAGTATGTGGAGGCCAGAAGGCAATTTACAGGAGTTGTTCTTTCCTTCCACCAAGAGGGTCCTGGGTGTTGGACTCAGGTCATCAGGCTCGGGGGCAGTAACATATATTCCCTGCTCATCTCTCCAGTCCAAACATATTCTTTTTTTTTAAAAAAAAAATTTATTTTACATGTATGAGTATATTGCCTGCATGTTTGTGTCATGCAGTGCCCAAGGAGGTCAGAAGAGGATGTCGGTTCTCCTGGAACTGGAGTTACAGACGGTTGTTTGCTGCCATGTGGGTGCTGGGAATTGAACCCAGGTACTCTGCAACAGCAGTAAGTGCTTGTAATTGCTGAGCCATCTCCCCAGCCCCAGACATAGTCTTCTAAAAAAGATTTAATTATTTTTATGTGTGTAAGTATATTGCCTGCACATATGAATGTGTACCACAGTACTGACCTGGTTACTGCCGAGACCAAAAGAGGGTGTTAGATCCCCTAGAATTGGAGTTACAGGTGGTTATCAGCTGCTATTTGGGTGCTGGGAACTGAATCCAGGCCCTTTGCATGAACAACCAGTACTCTTGACCCCAGAGCCATCTCTCCAGCCCTTAAAGGAACTCTTTTTAAAAAAAAGTTTAACATTTATTGATTGTGTGTGTGTGTGTGTTAATCTAGATCCCATAATGAGAAGAAAGGTATTTGTCTTTCTGAGTCTGTCTGAATTTACCCAGCATGATCATGGCTAATGCCATCTACTTTCCTACAAATGACACTCGGAATGTTGATTCGCAGGGTGAGGCTTCTCCACTCATCCACATAACTGGTCAGAGACAGTTGCCACATGGAATACTGTGCAGGCCTATGAATGCACTGTACCCGGCCAACCATCACCCTGGTGAGACCCACAACTCTGCAGAATCCTGGAAGGTTTGGGTTAGGATTTGCATACAAGGGACAGGCAGTTTTATTCATGACCACTAGGTGACACTCAAGTACTAGTTTACTGTCCCTTAAAAGTGAGATCTTTCTGTGCACTGACAGAGGGGGTGTCCATGGTCTTGTGGCACCATAGATATTTTATGTAGCTCTGCATGAGTGCACGTGTGCATGCACACACACTGACATGGACTTACTTTTATCGTTGTGGACTAACACAAACACTGAGAGAGAGGAAAGCAGTTATAGAACAGGAAGAGGAAGCGTTTTTGTTTTTTTTGTTTTGTGTTGTATTGTGTTGTTTTGAGATGGGGGTCTCGCTATGTATTAGCGGCTGGACTTGAACTCACAGATCTGCCTGCCTCTGGGATTGAAGGTGTGAGTCACCATGCCCAGTTTAAGTATTTCTTTTAGGACATCTCCATAACAAAGTAGAACAACAAATGGCTTACGTTGCTGTGCATGGGTTAAATGAGGACGTCAGGAGGAAAAGAAAAAACAAAAATGATTACCAAAGCATTCAAGTCAAGGTTCAGCCTCTGAAACAGTCTCCTTTCTAAACACCCTCCACTCCAACCCCCCAGGTAGCTTCAGTCTCCCCACTCTGACTCCATCATGATTACACGGGGGAGGGCAATTAGATGGTGTGGAACACTGCAGGCAGGGCACCCTCCAGTCCTGGCAGATGTGGGTCAACCATGGCCCAAGGTCTTCCTGTGACAAACGAAGAGAAAAAGGACTAGAATCCAAGCTTCCTCCCACTTTCTCTAAGTCAAAGGACGATCTGAAGAGGGGAGGTTGTCAGACTGGTTTGAAAAGAGTTGAAGGACATTTAGATTGTGCTGTGACTAGAGCAGAGCAGCAAAATCATGCGGGCAGGAGATCCATGCCTGCAAAGGTGGAGGTATTCAGGGATGAGCCCAGGGCATTATATGTGACAGTATTCAGATGCTAGCCACTGTGGCCACAGGACTCTAACCAATGCACCATTCATGAATCATCTGCAGAGATTCTTCCAGACCCTCATGGTGTCTTTGTTTAAACCAGGATCTTGCTTGGTGGTCCAGGCTGACATAAAACTTCAGTCCTTTTGCCACAGCCTCAAGTACTAGGATTACAGGTATCCACCTGGCTTGTTGTATCTTTTTAAAGATTTGTTTTATTTTTAATTGTGTGTGCATGTGTGTGTGTGTGTGTGTGTCTGCAGGTGCCTGTGGAAGCCAGAGGCCAGAGGCCTCGGATCCCCTGAGGCTAGAGCTAGAGGCAGTTGTGAACTATTTGACGTACATGCTAGCAATTGAACTCTGATCCTCTAGAAGTACAGCAAGTCCCCAGCTGGAACTCACTATATAAATCAGGCTGGCTTCAATCTCACAGAGATCTGCCTGCCTCTGCCTTCCAAGTGCTGGAATTAAAGGCATGCTCCACCATGCTCAGCTCTTGGCATCTTTTAATGATCTTTTTTTATGTGTGTATAGATGGGTATGTATGTGTGTGTGTGTGTGTGTGTGTGTGTGTGTGTGTGCGCATGCGTGTGTGTACATGTGTGGAGGTCAGAGGACAACTTGCAGGAGTCAGTTTCCTCCTATGCTACATGCTTTCCAGGAATCAAACTCAGGTTGCCACACTTGGTAGCAAGCACCTTTACTCACTGAGTCAGTTTTGCCAACCCCTGTGATATCTTTTAAATTGATTCACTTTTACTCAATTTCACTCTAAACAATATTAACAGGAAAACAGGATTCTATTTTTTTCTGATATAAGTAGAATTAACTACTAAGTAAAATGCTGCACGCGGCTGTGCACCCAGCTGAAGAGACCTGGCACCAAAGAGCCCCCAAGGCTGCTCCCCACACACACATGCTCTTGCCTCGGTACCCCAGGAGCTATTTGCATAACCCCCTCCATCTCCCATGCTTTCATGATCTGCTCAGGGGAAGGTCCTTGGGGTAAGAACCATGCTCTCCACAAACCTCACTCAGAGCCTGGCACTCCTGGCCTTTCAATAAAGGTTGAATGCGGTCATTCCACCTCTCACCTCTGGGCAGTGCTGAGCAAGAGGAGGGTCCCTGGGTAGAAAGGAAACTACATACTCGCTTACTCCTGAGTCCTGGACCCCAGCCGAGTGAGTGCCCATCTCAAATACACTCCAGCTCTTCTGTCATCACCTCCCACTCTATGACCCCTTCAAGACACCCATTCATCTATGTCAGCCCTGCTGGAGCCCTGGAGCAAACAGATCCCAGGACATTTTTTCTACTATGAAGGAATTTGTCACTCAGGGCAAAGAACAGTTAGTGAGCTGGATATGGGGAGGGGTTTCCCACAAGTGAGGGTCCAAAGTTGCCCAAGAATCTGCCCTGAAGTTGTGCTGCATAGATCCAGAGGTCACCCCACAACACCTCAGTTAGTCCTTGCGCTCCAGGGCCCATCTAGTCCCAGTCCCACCTTACTCTGGAGCTATAGTCCAGGACAGCTGTCCCCCTCCTCACTGACCTTCTGAACACCCCAGCCCTCTCCATGTACCCTATTCATAGCTGTGTGAGGGTGGGCAGCTCACAGACTGGGCCTGGAACAGGTGTGAGAGATCTGGTGACTGACAGATGAGCAAAGACAGCCTGATCGTCACGTGCTGGTATGTGCCTGGGAGAAATGTCAGGCCCAGAAGAGCTCAGCAGGCTGGACAGGAGGAAGGTCTGGGGAACTGACCTGCCTCCTGACACACACAGTGTCCAGATGGGTGTTAATCCCCTCCCCTGCCAAGGTCTCACAGGGTTCTAGGGGGTTCCATTTCCCATTCCTGGGGGGAGTACTCCTCAGAGCTGGGCCTCAATGGCCCCACCTCCTCCTCTGCTGAACCTTCATACCATTTGCAGTGGGGAGGATCCCAGGCAGGCTGCAAGTCCACAGACTACCACCACAGCCTCATCAGTAAAAGCAGTGACTCTCAGCTCACAGCAGCAGGTGGCAGAGGAAGGAGGGAGCAGCCAAGTCGGGAACAGGACTGCCTGTGGGGCCTATGACTGACCAGACTCACAATTAGCAAATGTCCCTCACCACACTTTTGTTCACCTAAAACCCTCCCATGTGAGGACAGCTAGCCAGATGGCTGCCAAGGTGCCCTGGCCTCTGACATGCCTGCTTCTCTGATTTCTGCTCATCCTCCTAAGATGCTGGCACTTAGAGAAGCCTGGCTAAGGACTCAAGTGAGGCCTAGAGAGGTAGGACATGAACTTCTAGCTTGAAGCCACAGGCTGAAAGGAGCAACTACAAACCTTTCAGATGGGGGAATAGAGGTACGAAGAAGCCAAGACTCACTCAGGACCCAGCTCTCAAGTGGCAGAAGACAGATGGGAACATCTATGCCCCATTAGGGCCCAAAGTCAGCTGCCTTGTCACACAAGAACAACTCTCTTGTCTCCACTGTGCTCCTTGTGCTGAACAGCTTCAGTTGTCAACTTGACACACCTGGGAAGAGGGAACCTCAACTGAGGTATTTCCTCTATTGGGTTGCCTTGTGGGCACGTCTGTGAGGCATTTTCTTGATTGTTGAGTAATGTGGGAGGACCCAGCTCACCGTGGGTGATGTCACCCCTGGGCAGGTGGTGGTAGGTTATATAAGAAAGCAGGCTGGGTGTGGTGGCACACACCTTTAATCCCAGCATTTGGGAGGCAAAGGCAGGTAGATCTCTGTGAGTTCAAGGCCAGCTGTGACTACAGGGAGATCCTGTCTCCAAAAAAAGACAAAAAAAATAAAATAAAATAAATAAACAAAGCAGACTGAGCACAAACCACAGGCGCAAGCCAGTAAGCAGTGTTCCTCCATGGTCTACACTTTAGCCTCTACCTAGAGAGGTTCCTGCCCTGGCTGCTCTCAAAGATGAACTATGATTGGGATGTGTAAGATAAAGATCCACTGTGAAGTCTCCCCCAGAGCCTGTGCTGCTGAAAGGCAATGGCTATGTGGCCCATATGCACAGTCCCACCTAGCACATCTAAAAAGACCTGCTGTCAAACTTCTTGTGTCCCAGATGTTCCCACACTACCTTCTCCCATCAGTTCCCTGCCAGCCTCCCCTAAGGGAAGGCAAGAGAGGACATGGATCAAACAATTAGAGAAGGACATTGTAGTTCCACCTCAACGCACAAAGAAGACCCTGTTGCCATTTCCTGGGAGAGAAGTCAAGATCAAGGATATCAGGAAACCCAAAGCTCCACTAAGCCTGTCCTCTCCTGTGCCACCACCTGGTGTTCCTCAGGACCCACATATCTTTCAGACTATCAGAGCCTTCTCCCAGGACCAGGCCGAGCATCGAAGCTGTGCCCAAGGGCACTGGCTACTCTGCTCAGGAGGCCAGCCTGCCAAACCATTGCAAGCACACACTCTGATGTCAAACTGATTTGGCCTAGATCTTGGTTCTGGCACTACAATAAACTGGATCTAGGAAGAATGCTTACCCTGTCCATGCCTCAGTTTCCCCTCTGAAGTATTAGCTGGGTCCACCTTTGGAGACATGGCAAGCTTGCATATGAGAATCCATGTGACCTGCTGGCATGAGTGTTCTGTGATCTCTCAGTCTGCCCTGGACACACCAAGAATGATCACAAAAATGCTAGAGGCCCACCCAGCCTGCATGCCTCAGAGCCAGACCCCTGTTTGCACCATGCCTCAGTTTCCTCAGTTTATGAAATGAGGACCCTAAGGTAAACTCTCCTGAAATGTGGCTAGTAAAATACAAAATACTGCCACCAACCCTACAGGGCTTGTCTAGCATGTGCAGAGCCCTGGGTTTCCCAGTCCCAGAACTGAAGAAAAAACAAAACAAAACAAAACAAAAAAAACGGTAACTTCCAACAACTAAAAGAAGGCAAGAGCTAGCGAGAAGGGCCCCAAAGATGCCATCTTTTACTTCACGGTAGTGTACTGAAAAATCCCGCTGGCCATTGGCAGCCTCTTCTGAAACCAACCACCTCCTTAGGGTAGCTGGGCCAGTGCTGGGAGAACCACAAGTCACCTCACCCTGGCCCTCCATCCAAGTGAAGGCCAGGCCTGTCCAGGTGGAGGGGAGCTTCTGCAGAGGAGCCCAGGGTCTCCCTACACACACCAGAAACTAGGAGCTATCTGTGCTCTACAGGGGTGGTGCTAACTGATACGCCCAACTCCAGTTCCTATGTCCACATAGAAAAAGTAGAAGTCAGGTGGTTTAAGCTGTTGAGCAAGAGGTTGCTGGCTCCCTTCTATCTACAGTGCAGAAGCTCCTCCTCACATTCAGGCTACAATGTGTCATTTCTCCAACTAAGCACATCTCTGGCCATGCCATGCGGTTTTCAGTAAGTGAGTTGGGAGCAGGGTGCACACCTCCCATCTCAGCAGCCTGTAGGAGCCAGATGCCAGCTTGCATTAGGCAGGGAGACCCATAACAAAAGCCAACCAAATAGCCAACCAAACCCACAGTGCTTCCTTATCACCTAAAGAGAAGAGAGAACCAATACATCATCAGCAGTGTGCCATGATTTCATCTGCTGTGCCATAACAGACATTATCAGTCAACTGGCACTTTCCCTTTCAAACAGTGACTGCCAAGCCACCCACCTCCCTAACATCTGATGAATGATGGGAATTTAACCACACAGATTTCTTTTTTTTCCCTTTTCCCCTCTGAGGAAATGATAGAATGATAATAACAACTTTGTGAAAACAGCTGCACAGGGTCTGGAGAGAGGTTCAGTGGGTGAGAGCACTGGCTGCTCTTGCAGAGGACACATGGTGTCTAACAACTGTCCATAACGCCAGTTCCAGGGGATCCGAGGCCCTCTTCTGACCTCCACAGGCACTGAATGATATGGGTGCACTTACATGCAGGCCAAACACTTATACACACAAAATTTAAAAATAAATAAAATAGCCGGGCATGGTAGTGCATGCCTTTAATCTCAGCACTTGGGAAGGCAGAGGCAGGTGGATCTTTGTGAGTTCGAGGCCAGCCTGGTCTACATAGTGAGTTCCAGGACAGCTGAGGCTACAGGGAGACCCTGTCTCAAAAAGACAAAATAAATAAATAAATAATAAATAAATAAATAAAATAAAACAAACAGAAAACCTGCTACACAAATGGCCTCATGTAACTCAGTAAACTAAAAACTGTCCAATATATAATTTCTTATTAACATGAAATTATGGATGCTGAAGAGTTCATGGTGATCGTTTTCTCTCTCTCTCTCTCTCTCTCTCTCTCTCTCTCTCTCTCTTTGGCTTTTCGGGACAGGGGAGATCTCCCTGTAGCCCCAGTTGGCCTGAACTCACTGTGTAGACCAAGCAGGCCTTGAACTCACAGAGATCCACCTGCCTTTGCCTCCTAAGTACACTGATCCTTTTTTAAAAATTTTACTTTTATGGGGGCTGGAAAGATTGCTCAGTGGTTAAGAGCACTCACTGGTTGCTCGTTCTTGCAGAGGACCTGGGTTCAGTTCCCAGCACCCACATGGCAGCTAATGACTGTTCTAAATTCAGTTCCAGGGAATCCAATGCCCTCTTCTGACCTCCATGGGCATTGCACAACACAGGTACACTTACACACATATACATAAAATATAATAAATAAAAAACATTTAAAAAAGAAAAGAAATAGGTAACTAAAAATAGAAGATACTCCAGCACTGCAAAATAAATAAATTAAAGCACCTGGATGGTCCCCTTCTGTTGTTGCCTCTTCCACAGTTAGGGCACCAAGCCCACTCCATTCTGCTCTCTTCCCCATCATAATACACCGAGGTCAAAGCAGGGCAGCAATGCCCCAGGCTTACCCAGAACTTCACGAGGAAGAAGGCATTGGAGGGTCCCCGTTCAAATAGTTCCTTGAGGCCACCCTTCTTCTCTGGGAATTTGTCATAGATCTGGCGGATGTCCACGGCTTCGAGGTAGGGGTCGCTGTAGCTTGGGCTTGACTGGCCAATGTGCACAAACAGGTGCTTGTTGTACTGTGAACAGAAGAGCAGCAGGTCTGAGAGTGATGCTGAAGGGAACCAGAGAGACAGCTCTGGTGCTGCCTCACCTATGACCTGGGGCAAATCACTTTACCTCTCTGGGCCTGAGTTTCCCTACTGGGAGAAGGGAGACAGTACTTCTTTCACACAGGGCTTCTGGGGAATGTGCATTTGATACGTGAATTCCTCAGCTAGAAAATAAGTTTGAGAAGGTAGGAGCATCCTATGTGCATGCCTGCTTCCTCCATGTGCTACTCTGGCCTTCACAGATGACACTGTTCACCCAGGACGCCAGCCATTAAAGAGGAGAGGCCAGGGGTAGTCTGCTTTACCTCGCTGGTGTCCCAGAGAATGTAGATCCAACATGGGAAGCTCCTCAGCTTCCTATGGACCCCTCAGGGAGTGGGATTGGTGGGGGCAGGGACAGGAGCAGGGCTGGGAGAAGAAGCTGGGAGGGGAAGGAAAGCCAGGGAGGGCTTGATGTGGAGAGATGTGGGAGACCTACAAAGAATAAGGGGAAGGCAAATAAGGGAAAGACCAAATAAGGGAAGTTGAAAAGGAATAAGGAATCCAAATTACAAAAGAGCAAGAAGAAGGCCAGAGATGGGGAAGGAGGAGAGAAGAGGTCTCTGAGGTGTGTGTGTTGGTGGGGGCGAGGCTCCTGTGGAGGAAGGACTTCCAGGATTGGGGATCTGTAGGGTGGGGACTTAGGGACTGGAAAACCTACTGTGGGGACAAGGGCCTCCAGTGATAAGGTGATTTGAGACCTACCTTGATAGGACCTGTGGGACTGTCTCTGGGATTAGGACGGCCTCTCCTGAGGTAAGGCAATCTGAGATGGCGGACCTACCGTGTCTGGGTCTAGCTGGCGCTCCAGGAAAGCAGAAAACTCCAACATCCAGAGCTTGGAGCTGGCCACGCTGCGGCCCTGCCATGGAGGTGCTGGGGGTGCAGCGGGCGATGGGGTGGGTCCTGCAGGAGACTCAAAACCTGCATGAAGGAGAAGTTACACATGAAAACTGCCCTTACTAGCCCTCCCTGCCGATACCCTCTGGGAGGAATCCGTCATCATCATTAGTAAGAGCAATACACAGGGCAGAACAGGGCCAGGGCATCCAGGAACAGCCCTCCCTGTAACCCATCAAAATCAATGGTCCCAAGCTTCTCTACAGGCCCAAACTCTAGGCAGATAAGATTCTGAAAGGGCCCAAGTTGAGGGGATTGGAGAGCTGCTAGGGCAGGCACTGAGGGACTCTAGCCCCAAGGCAACTTCTAGTCCAGGCAGAAGAGCCACTTGAATCAACTTTGACAATATTGCAGAAGCCCTGAGAGCAGGAAGTGCCCTAAAGGGCTCAGAGTTACCTCAAACCCAGAGAATAGACCTTGCATTATCAAGAGGGTTTCTATGAATGAATGTGGAATAGGCCTGCATTGATAAAGTGTGCCCTGAGCACCACAGAGGAGTCTTGGGGCCCCTGGGGCTGCCCAGGAATGTGAGACTTGAAAGAAACCATGAAGTTCACATAGCAAGCAGTGGGTGATAACAGGGAAAGGCAAAGAGAACTAGCAAAAGCAAGCATGTGGGGGCTGGGAACCAGTTCCATCAATCTGAAAAGTCAGCATATGGCAGAACTGCACAGAAGAGGTCTAAGCCCGTGACAGGAAACAAGGGCACAGAGCCAGTCAAGGATGCTGGGCTAATGGGATGGATTCTATTCTAAGTCAAGGAAAGCCGCTGGTAGAGTTATGAGGTGCTAGGAAATAGCCCTGAACTCTTAATTTTCTGTTGGTACTGTAGGTAGAACCCAGGACTAAAGCAAGCACACTAGGCAAGCTCTCTGGCCACTAAGCTTGGCATTCTTGCATCCTTTCTTCTGTGCAGAAGGACTGAATGGGTGGGGACACATTAGAGGCAAAGTCTTTGTAATTCAGTTTTTCCATCTTGTGACCTGGTGGATCAACAGTACCTGGGAGGAGGCAGAAAACAGGGCACAGGGTGAGGGGAAGAAAGAGGAAACCAAGAAAGAACGGTCCAGGAGGGTGGCCAGCCGTGCTGAACACATCAGCCTATGCTTAATGCACCCCCAAATCCTACCCCCCTTCCTTCATTCAGCTCCGGCGTACTGAGGAACTGCTGCATGCACACCCTAGGATACCCACAAGATACTCAGAGACACCAGCCATAGGCACAAACAGAGAGTGGCAGTGAAGAACGCCCCTGCTAGACGGAGGTCTACAGGGTACTGGGTGGACAAACAGCAAGAGCCTAACCTGGATGGGGGCAGGTGAGTGCAACCTCGGCCTGGGAGGAGCAGCCCAGCCACAGCCCAGAGGCAAAGCAAGGAGCAGTACGAGAGGACCAGGGAACACAGTCAACTGAATCTCAGGAACCCTGCAGATCTACTGCAGAGCTCAGATCTCATCTTGAAGGCAGGAAAGCATTTTAAAACTGGAAACAGCCAGGCATGGTGGCACACGCCTTTAGTTCTAGCACTTAGGAGGCAGAGACAGGTGGATCTCTATGAGTTCAAGGCCAACCTGGTCTACATAGTGAGTTCCAGACCAGTTGGGGCTACAGGAAGACCCTGTCTCAAAAAGACCAAGTCTCCCCTACTCCATGGCAAAATAAAAAACAAAAACAAAAACAAAAAACAAAAAACAACCAACCAAAACAAACCTAGAAACATGGTAAGAGAGACCCTTGAGAATCATAGGGAGCAGGGGGATCCTGAGCCAATTAAGAGAACCTGAGCTCACACTGCATCAGCATGGACAGAGGACAGAAGAGAGGAACGGGGATGACGACTGGACCCAACTCAGTGATGCTCCATATGGGGGTGAAAGAATCAACAAGCAGGCACCCAAGGGTGACCAGACTGCTCTCAGAGGCAGGAAAGCCCGAGAAGCCACAACCAGAATGTCATGGCCAGTTAACCCTTTGAGGTAGGTCAAGAACCCTGGCCTGGCCTACAGAGTGGTAGATGGGGAGGGAGCCTTCTGAGAGATGGTCAGTGCTGGTTTCCCTGTAGCAGGAGTACTGAGCTGTGCTGCCCAGCCAAGCCCCATTCTCCAGCCTCTTCCAACCAGGGTCCTCTGTGCGAAGGAGGTGTTACACTTAAAAGACTGTTTCACAACTCCCAATTGATAGGATGTAGACAGCATTGTAATGGGAGGCCTCAAGAGTTAGCACATATACCTCACAAGGGTAGTCTGGAAGACATAAGCACTTCCTTCAACTCTGTCACCCAGTCATCCCTGAGCATAGCTGGTGAGGAATACAGCACTCAGAGAGACCCCAGAATGCCATGGGCACCCCATGGCACATGGCTGAGGCACACTGGCTAGTGGCAAGGAATCAGGTATAGCCAGGAAATTGAGGTATATGGTCTGAACACAAGACAGAGCGACATTTAACAGTAACAAAAGCAGGTATCCAAGTGCTGTGGGGTTAGGACCTGGAGCAAGACCCACAGGGTATGATGTGCAAGGGGGCCATGCATGGCTGACCCACCTGGCAGAGGCAATGGAGGCTGAACAGTGTAGTTGTGTTGAGAGAAAGGTTTCACACTGCAGAAGAAAGAGAGAAGACATTAGAGGCAGCTCTGGTGGCCTGGCCATCGGTAGCTTTGGTGGGCTTTGGTCTCAGGTACCCTCCCCCGCCAAGTCTCTCAGGTTTCATGGTTGAGTCATAGAAAATATCTGTTGGGGCAATTCACTTCACTTCCTCTCCTAGGCCAGCCAAATGCCTCTTTGGGCCCCATCTATGTCCTGGACAGATGAGAGATTCAGTAAACAGCACTCCTGGGTAGCATCACAGACTAAACAAGTAGTGTGTGGGAACAGAGCCTCATTCCTAAGGTCAAGGCTGTCTTTGAAAGACTTAACCCCAGACTACGGCTTCATCTCTCCTCTCCAGGGTCCTTCTCATGAATTTCTAGGTTCATATTTAGTTCAGGGAGTGAGGGGTAGGAAATCAAACCATACTCACTCCTGGGATGTTCCAGCCTGGCCTGGCAAAGCTCCTTGCCAGAACTGTGGAGGTAAAAGGTGAAAAGTCAGTACAGCTATGTGGTACAATAGGGCCCAAGGGAAGAGACAGTTTGAGAGAGATGGTGCATGACAGACTATGCAGGCCTCTGGCTGTAAGAGGAGCAGGCAGCTAGCCCTAGCAGCTGAAGAAGGAAAAGTTGATATCTCTGTTTAGCTAGTTAATGCTAATAGGCAAGGTGTATTTCCAGGCATTCCATGGGAAAAACCAGGCTCACTGATACTGCACTGCCTTCCTCCTGTAAAGGCTCACAGGACCCACCAGCCTACAAGACTCTGAGAAGTCAGAGCCAAGAACTCTACTCAGGGGCTTGTGGTGTGGCTCAGTGGTAGAGCATGTGCTTAGTTTGCGTGAGTCATATGATTCCACCTCTAGTACCAAAAAAAACTATTTTGATTCCAAGTGTCCCAAGCTTACTTGTCAACACAATTAGCATTACATCTATTTAACATCCTGATGGGACTACTGCTCCCTGGAATTCCTTTTGAAATATGAGGGTGGAAAGACCTATGGAATTCAGGACATGTCCCTTCCCCACATCTGAGGACGGTGAGGCATCTTAAAGGCCCATGTAGGGGCTAGAGAAATGGCTTGGCAGTTAGGGGTTACTGGCTGCTTTTGCAGAGGATCTGGGTTCAGTTCCAAGCACCCACATGGCAGCTAACAACCATCCAAAACTCTAGTTCCAGAGAGACCCGATGGCCTCTTCTGGCCTCCATGGGCACTGCACACATATGGTGTGCTTACATGCAGGCAAAACATTCATACATATAAAATAAAAATAAATAAACTTAAAGAGCAACTTAGTTTGTATGACAGCCCAAGGAGAAGGGCTATTTCTGGGTCATTCTAAAAGTGTGGCAATGTGGACATGGCTGAGGAGGTCATTAGGCTGACAAAATTAAAATCCGACTGTGGGCTTGTCCCTATATTTTGACTCTCTACATGGAAAGTGGGCACTGTTGAGATGTTGAGCAGGAGGAACAGGGACAAGGTTGAGTGGTGAGTAGCTATTTGGGGACAGTGATACTATACCAAAGCTTTGGGTTTCAGCCCCAGTCCCTTAACTCATTTTCCAAATCTGTAAGTGAAGTCAATTCTCTGTTTCTTATCTGGTCAACTAATGGGAGTAGCCTCTTGCCTCTTGTTAAAAGTCTACTGTGTTGCTGCTAAGGACCCCAAAAGGTGGTTCCATCACTAGCAACGCCAGGGTTCAGGATGTGCCCTGGGAGGACTCAGAGGAGAAGAATTGAGACTGGCCACTGTTTTTGGCTCTGCAGGAGAGAAAGAGTGAGGAGAGGGCTGGCTTGGCTTCTTGCTCTGGGCTGCCCCACTTACCCCTGAGATTGCTGGGTAGCCAGGGCCCCGGGCAAGGGCCATTTTACTGTGGAAGGCTGTGGCTGAGACGATCTGGGCGGACGACATGGCAGCCATGCTCTGCAGGGCCTTGTCCTTAGCTGCCTGGTCCTGGAGAGACATGGGAAGGAAGGACCTCAGCAGGGCCATCAGCCAGGCACAGGGGAGGCACGATCTGTCCGCGGTGCCGGGAAAGCTGTCCACTGCTAGTGGCCAGAGCTAGGGGACCAGGTTTAAGTCATTTTAGTACTAATACATTTGGTGACTAGGCAGGTGACTTGGGTTTTCTGGTTCCTCATCTGTGACAGAAGCATAAAACTAGAGACTATGCCAGACTGACTGATTGATCCTTCCTTCCCTTCCCTTCCTTCCTCCCTCCCTCCCTTCCTTCCTTCCATCCATCCATCTCTGTTTCTCTCTAGTACTAGGGATGGAACCCAAGGCTTCAAGTATACTAAGCCCATACTCTACGAACTCACGGAGATCCACCTGCCTCTGCCTCCCAAGTGCTGGGACTAAAGGCATGTGCCACCACACCGGGCAGTGTTGGTTTTTAAAAGTATTTTATTTATTCATTTAAAAGATTGATTTTATTTTATTTATATTTATATTTTATGTGTGTAAGTGTATTGCCTGCATGTAGATAGGTGCATCCATGCCATGCACTGCCTGTAGAGGTCAGATCCCCTGGAACTAGAGGTATGGTTGGTCCTTAGCTGCCATGTGGGTACTGGGACTCAAACCCAGGTCCTCTTACAAGAGCAGTCAGTGCTCTTAACTGCTGAGCCATCTCTCCAGCCTCAGCATTAGTGTTTTACAAGAGGAGGAAGACATTGAGCTAGCATGCTTGGTGTCTTTCCATGTTTAATACAGTGAGAAGACCCTTACCTGATGCCAAGTGGATACTGGAGTCATGTTCTTAGACACCCCAGAATTGGGAGTCATTAAGCATCCATTCTTTAAAACTTTCTTTTATTTTTCTTTTTTAGTACTAGAGTTTGAGCCCAGGGCCTTGTGCCTGTTAGGTAAGTGCTCTACCACTGATCTACATTTGTAGCCCCTATCCCCCCGCCCCCCTTTTTGACAGGGTCTCCCTAGTCCCAACTCACTGTGTGGACCAGGCTAGCCTCAGTCTCACAGAGATCCACCTGCCTCTGCCTCTCGAGGGCTGGAATTAAAAGTGCACACCACCATGCCTGGCGTCCCTGCCCATTTTTTCATGGTGCTGAGGACTAAATTCAGCCTCACATATACTATACAAGCCTTCTACTACTGAACCACCAGCCCCTTTTTGTTTAAAATTTAAATTTGAGATAGGGTCTTTTTGAGGTAGGGTTTCCCTGTAGCCTCATCTGGAACTCACTATGTAAACTGCCTACCTCTACTGCTTGAGTGCTGGCATCAAGATATGAGCTGCCATGCCTGCCTTGAGATAGGGTCTTATTACAGTGCCCAGGCTGGCCTTGAATTTGGATCTTCCTGCCTCAGCCTCCCAAGAAGCTGAGATTATAGATGTGTACCATCATACTCAGTTTCCCTCCTTTTTTGTTTTTGAGACAAGGTCTCATTATGTAGCCCTGGTTGGCCTGGAACTCACTATGAAAACTATGCTGGCCTTGAATGCAGAGATCTGCCTGCCTCTGTATCCTGGGTGTTGAGGTTAAAGGCATATGCCACCATACCCAGCCTTTTGTTCTTAGGCAGGGCCTGCATATCTGTCCAGGCTGTTCTCAAACTCCTGGGCTTGAGTTATGTTCTTGCCTCAGCCTCATGAGCAACTAAGACAACCATGCCCTGTTTTATGCCTTATTGTAATTACTCAGTCTCAGGAGTTTTATTGTAGTCACACACAAGAAAATGGCTAAGACATTCTAGACTAGCACAGAAAGGGTTATGCCAACCAAGGGGGCAGCTGGAATGTGTTAGGACATGGCAACAGCCAGCACACACTAGGACATGGGAAAACATTCTGGGTGTTGAGCTTGTTCTCCATTCAGAGCAGTGGAGCAGGTAAGATTGGTTGCTGGCACCCTCACCACTATCTTTCTGTAGTTAAACGTGAGCCTTGTTCTCAAAGGCCATCTCTTATAACAGAGGAAGGAGGAACAGGCCTAGGTGTGCTCTTCCTGAGGACACGTACTTCCAGGAGGAAAAGCCAAATGAAGCCAGCCTTCCCAGGCCTCTCCCTGAGGAGACTTGGCAGGACACATCCTCAAGACTGTTGAGATTAACAAGTACATCCCGAGGCCAGGGAGCTCCATCCGCTCCATGCCAGCAAAGTGCGTCCCTTCTTGGATCCTTGATTTAAACAAATGACAGGACTCAGGAAACTACATCCTTAGTGGGTGAGGCAGGAGGAAGTGGGAAGGATACTATGGGGTGACATCAATGGCTAGACAGCAGAGCCAGGGGTCACTGCATTTTGCAGTTGGTGGGGATCTTAGCTATCACCTTGCCACATTGCTCTGTCATTCTGTAGATAAGGACACTAAGTGTGATTCACAGAGGGTGCGGGACACGCAGCCACAAGGCAGAGATGGAGCAGAACCAAGCCCAAGTGTCCCTCCCAGAGCTTAACAACTGTGGGTTCTAGCTCCCTTAAAAGCAGAACAAGTCCTCAAGGCAATCTCTGAGAAAATGCACAAATACCAGACAATTTGCTTTTTAAGAGGTTTGTGGCTCCTGTTGATTCCTAACTCAAGGTCCATTGATGGCTGTCCTCAGTGTCTCAAGTTACAAGTAGACATGTGATTCCTTCAAGCAAATATGGATGGTACAGAGGCGCTAAGGGAATTGAACATTCCCCTAGACTCTCTAAACAACACAGCAAGTCTGTCCTCTGCTGTCACCTGCTGGGATTGTAGTGAGTCAGAGGCAGACCAGAGAGGGGACATAAGGAACAAACAGGGCTTCAGGGCTAGGAGTGCTCCAGGGAGGGATCCACAGCTGAAGGCAAACCAGCTGTCCTGTGGACAAGGAGTGAGATGCTGAGCCACAGCTGTGGGGTGAGGGGGACAGCTGGGCTGAGCACAGGAGGAATGGAAGTGGGAAACAGTAGGACGTGGCTTCCTAAGAGGCAGAGGTCTGTGGCTCTACCCACTTAATCTGAGCCCCAGCCAGGTCTGAGGTGATGGGCCAGACAGTGTGTGAGGTCATCCAGTCCAGTTTAGCAGTTTATAAACTAGGCTCTGACGTAGTTTAGTTCACAGTTCTTATGTAAGAGAGGCTGCACAAGGAGGAGGGGAAGTTTCTGGCATACCCCTCATCAAACTGGTTACCACCAAAATGACTCCCTAGAAGGTATATTAAGGTGAGGGTTTTTTTGTTTTTGTTTTTGTTTTCGGTCTTTTTGAGACAGGGTCTCCCTGTAGCTCTACCTGACCTGGAACTTGCTATGTAGACCAGACTGGCCTTGAACGCACAGAGATCTGCCTGCCTCTGCCTCCCAACTGCTGGGATTAAAGGCATACATCACCACGCCCAGCTGAGGTGAAATTTTATTTGGGAAAAATAAAAGAGAGTCTCATTGCTTCAAAAGTTTGTAATCTACTGGCTTGGTTCAAGGGTTCAAAAGTTACATCTTCTGCTAGATGGTTGGACAGTCTATACTGTTAAGACCATCTTTTTTCTTTTTAAATTTTTATTTATTTATTTTTATGTGTATAAGTATTTTGTCTGTGCATCCATGTTGTGCAATGCCCATGGAAACCAGAAGAGGACATCAGATCCCCCTGGAAATTGAGTTACAGACAGTTATTAGCCACCATGTAGGTGCTAGGAACTGAACCCAGATCCTCTGCAAGAGCAGCCAGTGCTCTTAACCACTGAGCCATCTCTTCAGCCCCAATTTTATTTATTTTTAATTCATGTATATGAGTATGTATGAGTATGCATGTATCTAAGTGCACCATGCATGTAAATGCCAATGGAGATGAGAAGAGGGCATCAGATCACTAGAACTGGAGTTACAGAAGGTTGTTAGCCATCATGTGGTTGCTAGGAACCAAACCCAGGTCCTCTGCAAGATCAGCCAGTGCTCTTAACCACTGAGCCATCTCTCCAGCTTTTGTTAAGACCTGTTCAATGGAGAGCTCACCCCTGTTTAGTGTCCATCAAAGGGCTATGGATCTAGAGTCCTGGAAGACTGATTTCCTGAAGGGACCCATCAGCAACTAACCTTGCACAGAACACCTGTCAGCAGAGGCCTAGCAAGAAGGTGGAAAGAACTGCCAGTCTCAGGGAACAAAAAGGAATGTTGCCAGTTCTTGCTGTGAGTCCACCAAATGCCTCTACCCTGGCAGATGCTGGCCCATAGCACCATGAGAATCTCAACAGGACCAGTGGTTTGAGGAGACACTTTAGGAATACGACATGGAGGATGACTTGTATGCTCTGAGTCTGGTGGTCCCTTCTACACTAAGGCCCAGGTGGGGGCCCAGCAAGAGCCTGGTACCTACATACATGGCTCAGAGTAGAAAGGCCACACTTAATGATTATCCATAATAGCAAGAAGCACACAAGTTCAGAACAGTGGCAGTCCCTGAGCCCACAGGGCAGACTTTTCCTTCTGGAATGAGTCCTAATTTCTGGTAAGCCCCACTCCACTCCAAGTCCCAGGATTCTTTTTCTACTGACAGTTGTCTTACCTTGAGTTTGGCCTGGATCTCTCGGGCTTTGCGCCGGGCAAGCACCTGGATGTGACTGGAGACCTGTGTTGGGAAGAGAGGGCTCCTGTCCTCACCTCCCAGACAATGTGTTGCTCTTCCAACCCTCCTCCCTCCATGGCTCTCCACCCACATTTGTGTACAGACCAAGTGAAGAGAGGGTTAATAGAGGCTCACTCTTGGCTGCCCAGTTCTTCCTGAGCCTGGTAATATTCCCCAAAGGCAAAGCCAATGTTTTGCCTTTTTTTTTTTTTGCCTAGCAGGTTGACTTCCCCATAAGGGGAAGGAACAAGGACTCCAGGGAAAATGGAGCTGCTCCCACCCGCTGGGGAGCAGGCTGAGTGGGTAGGGAAACCTGCCTGTAGGACCCCTACCCATCTCTGGACTCACCTGCTTCCTAGTGCGGGTCTTCCCTGTCCGGAGCTTGATGTAGCGTGCAATTAGCTCATTGCGACCTGAGGAGACACCACAGCCTCAGTGGGAAAGCTGACTCCTCACTCTGCCCACCTTGGGTAGGGACTTCAGGACAAGGAAAATCAGGGCACACAGGCCACCACCACTCAGCCCAAGGAGCTCTCAACAGCTCTCCTGAAACGCCTGACACTGCTCCTCATTCCACGGTGGCTGCCTCTTCACCATAGCCCCAAACTCTTCCCAGGACCTTCCCTATTCAACACTCAAAGGTCGGGCAACAGGGGATAGGGGGTAGGGGGTGCAGAGATCTCAACTGTCCGAGAGAGGAGGCAGAAAGCAGCCAGACATAGTTCAGAGGTAGAGCATTTGCCTAGCATGTACAAGGCCTATGTCCCACCTCATCCCCAGAAAAAGAATAAAATCAATCCCAGTCAGCTCTTCTAGCCCAAGGTACTGCCTTAGGCCAGGCAGAGGACCCCATCCAACACTCTCAAGGGCTGGACCTAGAGGCCACACTGTGTCCCCAGAACCTTGGCAAATAGCAAGAGCCATCTACACCCTAAATAGGATCAAAGGGAATTCTTATTTTGATTGCTTTTCTTATTGCTGTTGTTTGAGTTTTTTCTTGAGAGAGTTTTTTCTTTGAGTTTTTTCTTGAGAGAGGGTCTGGTATAGCCTAGGCTGGTCTTGAACTCATGTAGCTGAGGATGACTTTGAACTCCTCATTCTCTGCCTCCACCTCCTGAGTGCTGGGATTATAGGCATGTGCTAGCATGCCCGATTTTATGCAGTGCTGAGAGATAGAGTCCAGGACACCATGCATGCTAGGCAAGCACTTTCCCAACTAGGCTACACCCCCAGTCCATTTTTTTTTATTTGTTTGCTTGCTTTTTGAGACAAGGTCTTGCTACTTAGCCTCGGCTAGCCTGGAACTTGCCCCCATCCTTGATCCTCCTGACTCTGCCTCCCAGAGCTCACTTCCTACGTGGGAGGGCACACAGTCACACAGCAGTACAATGTGTGCTGGAAAGAGATGTGTTTGAGGATGAAGGATAAGTTCAGGCTTGGGGAGCTGGTGGACCTCAGTGGGACCATGGCCACTGGCTAGGTAGGATTAAAGTAAAGGACAAAGAGCATCAGATGAGAGAGGGGAAGGGGAAGCAATCACCTCTTTTTTCTACCTCTTGGTCAGAGGGCATAGTAGAAGCCTGCCCCTCCAGCTGAGGCTGAACTGGCCATGTGAGGAAGCTGCTGATGCAGAGGGAGGTGAAATGAGCTGGTTGCCCTCCACCTGGGCTGTAACCGGAGAGCTCCGTCAAGGCCAGGTTGGCCCCCTAGCTGACCTTTCTCTACAGCCAAGCCTGAACTAAGAGGCCTTAACTGCCAGAAAGACGTGCTGGCTTGTGAGTACTGGCTTGCCTGTGTCCAAGGAAGGAGGGAGTAGAGAATCAGACTCAGGGCGTTTTGTGAGACAATCTAGACCTTAAACTCTGAGTTCAGCAAGATGTCTCTTCTCAAAGCCAGAGAACAGTATTCCATGGGTGCTTTTGGCAATCCACGAATATCCAGGAGCTTCTACTCTGTGTCTAACTAGAGAGACTTGTGTTGTAGCTATGAAATCTAAGAAAGTCTAAATCGGGGGGCTAGAGAGATGGCTCAGTGGTTAAGAGGACTGGCTGCTCTTACAGAGGACCTGGGTTCAATTCCCAGCACCCACATGGCAGCTAACGACTTTCTATAACTCCAGTTCCAGGGACCCAACAGGCTCCCTTCTGACGCCTGCAGGCATTGCACTACACGGTGCATGCAGGCAAAACACTCATACACATAAAATAATAAAAATAATAAATAAAAATATTTAAAGAAAGCCTAAATCATCAAATCATCATTGGTGTGCTACAGAAAAAAACACCACAGAACTGGAACTTGAAGAGCCAGATTGGAACCTGCAGATCCAAAAGGAGTTTTGGGATCAGGGCAAGTCTCTTCCCTCTGTGGACCTTCACCCAGCCTTCTTCTAACCTTGTTCTCTTTTTCTGGTCTTTTTGAGACAGGTCTCCTTTAACCCCAGTGGGTCTGGAACTCACTATGTAGAGCAGGCTGGCTTTGAACTCCCAGAAATTCACCTGCCTCTGCCTCCCAAGTGCTGGAATTAAAGGCATGCACCACCACGCCCAGCCTAACCTTGTTTTTTTAAAGTCTTTCCTCTACATTTGACCACACAAATTTTTACCAACTTAGCAAAGAAAGCTTAACCCTGGCTCAGTGAGAATGCCAGTCAGACAGAGTGACCCATACTTGTACTCCCAGCTCTTGGGAGCCTGAGGCAGGACTGCCTTAAGTTTGAGTCCAGCTAAGAGTCCAGACAGAATAAGACCCTTGTCTCTGGAGCAAGAGAGAGATGGGTCAGCAGTTAAGAGCACTAGCTGCTCTTGCAGAAGCCCCAGGTTCAGTTAGTTCCCAGCACCCACATGGCAGCTTTAACTCCAGTTCCAGAGGCTCTGATGTCTTCTTCTGGCCTCTGCAGGCATTGAACGCATTTATGTACTTCCACATGGAGCATTCATACCCATAAAGTAAAATTAAGTTTAAAAATTTTAATGACCCTATCTCCAAAAAACAAAACAAAAAACCTGCAGGACGGCAACTCTGCTGATCAGTCAGTCCCATCAAGAAAGGGACTATGCTCTGGGCCTAAGGAAGTGGTCAAAGTCCAGAGACAAGGCCAGGGATAAGTTAGGGAGTAAGAAGAAGTCCCTGAGAGCCACAGACTGATTCAGGGCTGCTGGACATGGTGGCAAGTCTCAGGGTTGGTGGTAGGGAGGGATGGGGAAAACAGAGGATGCTTAGGGACCTCAGGAACCAACTGGGGAGTTTCTTGGGCTGCTCCTGGGGCCCACATCTGGCAGCCCATCAGTTATCTGTATCTGTCAGACTTTCAACACCCTAGAGTAACAGAGCACACTCTCACTCCAGAATACACCTCCAAGGTGGGAGTGGGGACAGAGGCCTAGGATCCCAGCACTTGGGAAGCCAAAGCAGGGGGATCAGGAATTCGAGGTCAGCCTGGGCTACATAGCAAGACCCTATTTCATAAAAAAGTTTCAAGTGACTAGTACCAAATGAATGAATAAATGGATGGATGGATGAATGAATAAGAATGTGTCTATCTTGGCTCCACCTACAAAATACACCCAGAACTGGGCCTCTTCACTCCACCTCACTGCTGTGGTCCGAGCTACCATGTTCTGGCCTGGATTATTAATCATCTCCACCTGGCTTCCTGCTTCAGGCTATTCTCAGCCTGGCAGCTGACATGTCCTACTAAAATCCTGTGCCCTCCCCTGGCTTCCCAACCAAGTCCTGTCAGGTGTAGGAGCAGTCCTGGAGTCTCAGCTACTAGAGACTGAGAGACAGGAGGATTGCTTCTGCCCTGGGGCTGAAGACCAGGTTAAGCAAGGACAGGAGACAATTTGTCTCTTGAGAAAAAAAACAGTCGGGGGTTAGGTGGCTCAGTAGTAGAGTCAGGAAAGGAAGGAAGGAAGGGAGGGAGGGAGGAAGAAGTCCACCCACAAGTCCCTCCAAAGCCCTGGGAGTCCCTACAGGTTCTGTCCACTGCACCCCCACCCCCACCAGCTCGGGCACTTCTCTGGATGACATCTACCCACCCCCAGTTCCGACTAGGTTCCCAGAATGTGCCAGGTTTACTTGTCCAGTAGGCCTTTGCTTCCTGTCCTTCCACTAGAGGACCACTCTACCCAAGGCCCCATGCTTCACTTTCACCTTCCTCACATTCCCAGTGGTGTCTGGAATGGTCTTGGGTCATCTTCCCGGACCATGATATTGACAGCCGGGATGGCCCTCCCTGTCCAGCCCACCTCAACCTGCACTTCCTGTTGTTCTCACTTTCCTCCATGTGCTGTGTAATCTACTGATATATTCTGAGTGCTGTCTTTCCCCACAGAATACACACTGACAATGGGGATGTTTAAAAATATATTTATTATTCATCATTATCAACCACCTAGAAAACTGCCTGAGAAAACAGGGCTGAGATGGCTCAGTGAATAAAGCACTCTCCCCAGAACCCATATAAATGCCATGTGGGCATGGCAGCTCATCTACAATTCCAGTGCCCAGAAGGTGGCTACAGAGGATCCCTGGAGCAAGCTGGAGCTAGACCAGCTCATATCAGCCAGCTCTGGAGTCAGTTGTGAGACTCTGCCTCAATAAACAAGGTGAAGAGTGATCAAGGAAGAATCTGGATGTCAACTTCAGGCTTCCACATACCCACACGTACACATCTGAACACACATATACACACAAAAAAAGAAAAAAGAGGGGCTGGAGAGATGGCTCAGTGGTTAAGAGTACTGGCTGCTCTTGCAGAGGACTCAGGTTCAGTTCCCAGCACCCACATGGTGGCTAACAGCCTGTAACTTCAGTTCCCCCAGGGTATCAGACACCCTCTTCTGACCTCCATGGATACTGCATGACCTGGGTGAATTTATATACAGGCAATACACACATACACATAAAATAAAAACAATAAATGCTAAGAGAGAGAGAGAGAGAGAGGAAGAAAAAGAAAGAAAGAAAGAAAGAAGGAAGGAAGGAAAGAAAGAAAGAAAGAAAGAAAGAAAGAAAGAAAGAAAGAAAGAAAGAAAAGAAAACTATCTCAGGCCTTCAATCAGTATCTGTTAAACAAATAATAAAGGAGATCAAATGTCTAGAAAATTGGTTTAGCCTTCTAAGAAAGAGGGAGCCAAATAAAGGCAAGCAACTGCTGCCCTTCTAAATTATTGGTATCTAATTTCCAGGACTTCTATTTATTTATTTATTT